TTGACGAAATCAGCTCAAACTTTCTACATAGCATAAGGGCATCAAAATGTATCAAAAAATTTGGGGTGACTTTAGAGCAAATTTTTGGAAGAAGCCATAAGCTAGTGCCTGTGGTATTTTATCACAAATTAGTTGTTTAAAAAAACACTAGTTATCTAAAAAAATATTTGTCAGAATTGCTTTAAACTTCTTTCAAAAGTACATCAATATTTGTGTTAAAAGATGTAAAAAAATTTTGGGTGGTTTTAGAGCTATTATTTACTTGAAAAACATTTCAAAGTTCATGTAGGGTCATAAACCAATTTTTAACAAAAATGAAAAGAAGAGAAGTCTCTTTGTATACAATTTCCCCAAATACATACATACATATACATGTTCTCAAGTTGTGTATAAAGTTTGAGCTCATTCTGATCAAAATTGGATTTTCCCTCTTTTTGATAACTTTATTATTATTGTAGATGTTTCTTGAATGGGAGGAGACTCTGTTGTTGCTATGGCAAGTTCATTTAGGCTCTGATGAGGACTTTATTAATGTACAATATTTTTATTTCATTTTATTTATTATTATTGTTGTAATTTTGTTTTTGAATAATATTTTTTTACACATACAGCTTTATTCCACTACTTCCTTTTCTTGCTCACACTTTAATTCACACCTTGAGGTGGTAACAAGATATAGAAAACAACTTGCAGTTAATGCTCTTTCAGCAGCTAATAGATTAACAACAATGATAGATAAAATGATTGAAGTATTGATGAGAAGTGAGTGATAGTCATTATATAGGACTGGTGGTGAATGCATACCATATCCTACATTATCTGATACATTACACCAGATCCATTGATGAATACACAAGATAAAAGTATCAATCTTTTAATGTTACACTACAAGTCATTACATTGTCTATTGTCTGTCAAATGGTCAAGTCAATGAGATTGATATGACTAACGGGTTGTTGTCTTGTTGAAGAAGGACCTCCTCACAGGATTGACCCTTTACACTCCTAGATACACCACATGTATATACATGGGTAGATCTAATGAGTAAAGTTTGCTGCACTGCATGTATCTAATGGGGTAAACGCATGATTTTGACCACGTCAGTAATGTTAAAATTTTAATAGAAAACTCAAAATAGAAAGAATTGACAAAAATAAATAACAATACTAATAATAATTATAATACTTATAATAATAATTATAATACTTCTAACAATAATAATACCATTGAAGAGAAAGAAATAGAGGGGAAAAGGAAAAGAAGGAAATGCATGTGAGTAAAAATGAAGAAAAGATTAAGAAATAACATTAATATAATAATAATTATTATTATTGTTTAGGTAGACGCTTTACTTTAGCAGCAACATCAATTCTTTCCAAATCCTCAAGTGCTTTTATCAGCTTTTCCCTTGTAGCAGTACCAGTCTTTAACCAGTGAATTATCATGTTTTTGCGGCATACATTTATTTGATGTAAGGAATTAAAATCAATTGATTCTAAATCTTCATTTTTCACTCCAAGATATAATCCTAGTGTGTCCCATTCTTTGACAATCTTTTTGATAGCTTTCAGTATAACTGGAGCATGAGAATCATCTGTAAATAAATACACACATTATCTAATAATAATAAAACTAACACATTCACTTACTTAATACAGAACCTTCTGGTAAAAAGTTGTCTGTAGCAACATCTGATGAAGCAACTGGATCTATAAGAAATGATTCTTATAAAATAAAAAATCATTGAAGTATACTTACTCGTTAGCCAGCAGTTTTGCCTCTCATTGTCTATTGGGATAGGATGAAGATGAGGCTCAAGACTGCAACCAACTACTGGTGGATCTTCAGTATGACAGACAGTAATTGGATGAGGCTCATCATTACTAGCAGCTAATCTATGATCTCTCTTACAACGAACAAGAGCAGATATCTCCAGTGCCTTCATGTCATAAGACAGGAGCTCAGCACTGGCTGATAGACACTCTAGAATCACCTCACGAAGAGTATAACAGTGTCTAGTAAGACCAGTGAAAATAATCTCAATTGATTTGAGATTATCACAGAGGAATATTGATCCAAACAGATCCTCTGAGTAGAGGCTAACAGCATATCGGAGCTGTCTTGGGAATGCAGGAGAGCGACTATCAATAAAAAAATGAGGTTTGTCTTTCCGACTCAATAAAGAGACAATCAATGTAGGAAACAGACCCTGTAGAGAAAGAGAGAGACAGTAATAC